AATTTTTTCTTTGACTTTACTTGTTGTTGTCTGCAATTGTATAAAACAGGAAAAATCTGTAAATCAACAATAAATTGTTTCAATAAAGTTGCAGTTAAAAACTAATCAAAGAAATGTTTATTATTTTTTACAGTGAGGACAAATGAGGAAAAGAAAGAATCACAAACACACAGGAAACTATATTCTGCTTTTGCCAAATGATATGATTTTCTGACGGTTTGGTATCATCTCACCTGGAACAAAGTAAAGACAGCACATCATTCTGGTATTTGTTAACCTGTGAAATACGGAACTGGGTTTAAAATTTGACTCTGTGTTTATAAAGCCTTGAATATTTCTGCTCTATAATAGGTTACGGAGACGTTACCTCTGCTTCATGCTCACAGTTACTCCTCTCAGTCAGCTGGACGTTTTTGCCCTGAAGATGTGAAACAGTCTCCACATTCAGTTCCGTCCCACTGTGGACAATTTCAAATCCACATTAAAGTCACACATTTTTTCTTTGACTTTAGTTCTTCCAAAAGCTTTTCTAGTCACATCTACTCTTAGTTCGTCTTTATCACCCTGCTGTGTTGTGTTGCTTGGTGGCTTCATTCTGCTTTGTTTCCTTCTTTACTCTTATAATCTAGTCAGTGTGCTTCACCTTGGCCATCCTGTGGTCGCCCTCACAGGTGATTCTTGTCATGTCCTCCATCTTATTAACTTTGCGTCCTCTCTCTTTCTGGACCACTCTGAAGGGATTTGACACTCAGAAGCTGCACAGGTTTGATCTGCTGCTGTTACTCCCACCAGTCTGTCCACTGTTTATGTTCTGTTGCACCGTAAAAAAACAAGAGAACTGTTGGACCAGCTTAAATGAATTATGTAAATTTAATTAATGAGCAACATTAATGCCATGTATTTGCATTAGATGCACATAAATAATTGTATTGCTGCAACTTAATTTTAGGGAAACTTGAAGCTTCCACTTTTTTCAACTTAGATATTTACCCAAATTTAAGAGGTAAAATGTTCTTTCCTTTTCTTTATTCTGTAGTTCTCCTCAAAGAAAACACTGGTTGAGTCTGAAGAAATGTAGATGGCATGACATTGGATGCACAATGCTAAAAAAAAAAGCAATCAATGCAGATTTTGGAAAACCTGTTGAAAAGGACAACCTGTAGAATCCACCCAAGCAAAGTACCACCACCAAGCCAGAAAGACAAATGAGATTGATTTGGTGCTTTACTTTGACTACAGCTCAAATGCACGACAGAATGTTTGTCCTCTGTCTGTTTGTCTTTGCTTTCCTTTTCTCTGTCTCCTTTACCGTCATCCTGACCAGTCCAGGCAGACAGCAGCCCTCCCTGAGCCCCTGCTCAACATGTCTTCATGCTCAAAGGGGATTTTTTTTTCTTCCTACTGTAGTCAATGTTTGGATTCATTGGATTGTCAATGTACACATTTGTAGGGTCTTGATTTTTTAAATCAGTCAAGTATTTTGTTGGAGTATATAATATGTTCTTTTTCTTTCCTTTAAAAAACAAACAAAATCAAACACTTAAGTCAGGCAACTAATTTGATCTTTAATTTCATTCATAATTTCATTATGCACGCAGCGTTCAGTCTATGGCATCCTGTGTGTGTGTGTGTGTGTGTGTGTGTGTGTGTGTGTAGGTGTGTGTGTGTGTATAGGCAAAATCTTCTACTCAGCTCTCCGTAGCTCCGCCCCCCCGGACCGCCGCGTCTCCAGCGGACAACAAACGTCCACATCTCCTGAGCGCAGACTGGATGGAAAAGACGCAGCAGCGTCAATTATCCCGAACTGAGCACAGACAGAGAGCTACAAGGACTAAAAAATAAAAGCCTCGAAGAAGAAGATAGGTCATCCACATAACGTGCTCGCTCAGGTGTTTCAAACGCAACATTTAACCAGGATTAATGAAGGAATCTGTGGTGCTGACTATTTTAAGGCTCCTCTTTTTTCTTCTTGCACAAAGACGAAGATATCTGTCCTGCTGATGGGCTGCTGGCCCAGTGTCAAGGCTCGTCTCCCGGTGTCTCCTCCATGCTCTTGAGAGTGTACTAGTCGATACAGCAAATTTTATACTAACATTATCTATATTTTATATATATATACTCCTAACTTGTCCATGGCATTCTAGCTGTCATAGTTTTCAGATGTTGTCCAGGGATCTGCTGAAGCCACTCTCCCAGTCTGGGGGTTACAGCACATGTGCTCCAATCACTGGTACTACCGTTATCTATCTATCTATCTATCTATCTATCTATCTATCTATCTATCTATCTATCTATCTATCTATCTGAACAAAAATGTTGCAAGTATATCAAAACTGAATGATACAACATAATAACACCAACAATAAAATCTTATTTTGTATAGCACCTATCAAAAAGGGAATTTATCACCAAGGAAGTCAAATTAATATTCAAAGCCTTAAGCAAAGATCACAAAAGAAATATTACATAGCGCATCGGACGTGTGTAGTGACCTCTATATTTTTGATTTAGAAAGTCTAACGAAGATCAGATTTAAGGCTTTTATTTGCACTTCCGGTAAGGACACGGTGTTTGCCGCTTCGCCTGCCTTGACGCGATCTTGACGCGCGGCTGACGCGCTGTTCGCGGACGCTCTCATTCACTTCAGGTTCGGACTCCCGCTGGAGTAACGAGAGAAAAACGGCTGCTTCTTCTCGTCCAAACTCGCAGGAAAACAGCGTGGAATCGCTCGGAGACACTTGTGGAAACAACGACCGGGTGGCTTTCAGCCCGAGCCGGACACCGCAGAGGAGCCGTGTGGGTTCATTTTGCAAACCTATTGATCAGGGGCAGTGTGTGTGTTGTCGTTCGGACACACACTCACAGTCACAGGTTGCTAGCGGAGTTAACCTAGCTAGCCAAGTTAGCTAGCTGCGGTTAGCTGTGCCTTCGCTTTTCCTGGGACTGAAAGCAGCCGGGGCGAAACTTGAAAAAAAAAAAACTGTCAGACATTTTCCAGACAGCCTGCCGTATGATTCAGTCATGATGTGGTGTTTTTTCGGACGTGTATCAAGTTGGCCGGCTGGTAGCATCGGCTGACTGAAGCCTGCTGCGAGTCTCTCGGCGTCTCCGACCTGGATTTTACTCCCGTGTGTTTTTTTTCCTCCTTTTCCACTTTGGCTGTTTTTGGCTGTTGTTTTTAAAGCGGACTTTGACCTGCGGGTGTTGTAACTCACCCCCTTCTATTAAGTAAAAAGCCTCTATTGATTCTTCTGTTGGAGTTTTTCAAAACTTGGCTGGACGTCTCTTTTTTTTTCTGGAGGTAAAAAAGTTGTTGGGAAGTTGAGGAGGTTTTTTTTTTTTTTCCGAGCCTGTGGAAAAATGGATGCGGGTATAGAGAAGGAATGCAGCGCCTTGGGAGGGCTCTTCCAGCTCATCATGAACGACATGAAGGTAACAAAAAATCAAATTAGATGAACTTCTGTGCTCCCTACAGATCCCATCAGCACATCACCCTCATTATTTGTGTTGATTTTGTAGTTAATATTTAAACGTTTAGTTGCGTGTCATGTCTTTTAAAGCTCAGTCCAGAACATTTCTTCATCTTTTGCATTAGTTTTGTCGGTCTTATCACTTTTTTGGTCACACTTCTTATGGAAATACTTTGGATTTTTTATAGATTTCTCTTATAATAATCCTATATTTTGCATTCTGAGTTTGTGTCAGTAGTGGAAGCCACCTCCATTCATTCTTAATGGAGGTTTCCCTTCACTCTTCCTTAAGTCTGATATCCATGCTTACATTTCTGCCTTACATCATGGACACTGTAACCTCAGCAGACGTAAGTCACAAGGGGCTGAAAAAGATGAAAACAATGCAAAAAAAAACTAGGTGGGATTGAGCTTGAGAAACCAACTATTCCTTTAGTTAGGTATTCATTTGATCACCACCTATTTAATAATGGATTAATCAGTCTTTGAGTTCTCTGTTTCTTTACTGAACTATTACAGTAATCTGAATGTAGACCAAAGCAGCCAATCTATCAATAGAGGAAATCAGATTGATCCACAGTGGATTAATGTTTATTCATGTTTACATTTCTTCTTTGCATTATGGAGGTCATCCCCTCACACCTAACAGTCATAAAGTGATAAAAAAAGATGAAAATAAGGCAACGAAACTTGGTGAAATTTGGAATAAAGCAAATGAAAGCATAAGCTTGAGATACTTATAAACTAAATAATCATTTAGTTGTCAGGTATTCATTTAATGAGCAACTATTTTGATGATCTATAATCTGTTTTGATAATAATAATAATAAAACAACTTTCCAAGTGAGCTTTTTTTTATTTCTTTGTGAGAGCAAACTGATTATTTTAGGGTTGTGGACAAAACAAGTCACTCCAGGACGTCATGTTGGGCTTTTGGAAGCACTCGTCAACATTTTTCACCATTTTCCAATCCATAGTGGAAATGATTGTTAACTAGGTGATCTGAAGAGAACAAAGGAGTGAGCTTGATGTAAACCTTGACAAATAGGTTGCTCATGTTTGGATGTTGAATACGTCAGCGCCGGAGATGTTGATTGGCTAATGAATGAGCAGAGGTTAAAACTGGAAGTGGGCCATCTGAGAGGGTAACAGAGCTGGATGGGGGTGGATTTTACCAGCTGTGTGCTCTTTGAAGTTTGTCAAGCAGGCTGCCCTTTGCTGTCTGTCTGTCTGCCTGCCTGCCTGCCTTTCTGTTTTTCTGTCCGTGTTTCACTGCTCTCAGATGTTCATCGTTAGCAGCCTCTCTTCTCCAGTCGCGTCTTTTAGTCCTCTGTTGCTCCGGGAGTTGTTTGCTCCAAAGCTTGTACCGAGTGGAGGCCACGAGTCGGCTCGACTGATTTTACAGGCCAGGATTAGCTTTTTGCAGATGTATTGGCATCTGTTGCGTGCGTTGGTCAACGAGTAACATGATAGTGTTGTACGTTGTGTAATAGCAAACAAGTACGGGCAAACAAATAATACATGAAGGTGAACTGATGATAGACTGAACGTCAGAGCTTTTTAAAATTTATTTATTTTCTTGAAATCATGAAGAATAGAAAAATACTTTATTTATCCCAGTCTGGGAAATTACTGAAATCATGCTTTTCTCAGCCAAAGCGTCCCTGTCATTACACATCTTTGTCACTGTTCTTCAATGACATAATTAAAATTTTATCTGGGGATTAATCGATGAAACAATAATCTCCATTGTTTGTTATAATTATTGAATCTTTTCACACAATTTTTTTAGGGCAAAAAAGCCAAACATTTAATAGTTCTAAAGGAACTTATCCAGTCAATCATTTCAGCAAACTGAATATTTTTTGATTCTGGACTGTTGATTAAACAAACAAAGCATTTTTACTGCGTTGCTTTGGGCTTTGTGGCATTATGATGCTTAATTCTTACTATTTTTTGATGGTAAACAGACAAAAACACTAATCAGCAGACTGTTATACTGTTAGCTTTTTATTTTTTTTTAAATGTTGGTGTAAAATAGCTATTGACGGACACTTTTAAGTGCCTATTGAATTGCTGTCTGGAATTCGCGTATCCTGCATTATAGTCAAAAGTACTGCAAGCTCGTGCAACCTAAAACTTGTACAGTACAAAAGCAAGAACGTCATTGTATATCCTGAACAATTCACTGCTTTTTCAGCCTCATGAGCGTCATGTGTTCATAAGGAGCTGCAAATCATTAGATATAATCACTAGTATTAAATGTAATGTCCCTAAAAATGCCATCTAAGGCTAACAGGAAGTGACAATCACTGAGATGTCATCTGAGGTGATGTTCTAGCCGATGATGTTACACTGAGGTCAAAAACCAATGCTATTCTCATTGATTTCTGTATTATGTTTTCATGATACATACATGTTTCCCTCCACAGAGAAAGGCCGACGATCATGTGGCAGGTCTAAACCACTGGTACGATTTAGTTTTCGAAAATTAGTCAATGCCAACAGGAACAAAATAGTTTCGGAGGGGTTGCTTCACCACACAGCCCAGTGTCTTGTCAGGAATGTGACTTATCAAACCACAGATGATTCAGTCTGCACACTACAGGGATATTGTGTAAGAGTGGATCTTCAGATGACTCACAAAAGTCACAGCAGCCCTGCTGTGTGCAGTTATTTGTTAAAGGTTGTTGTTTCTGGACTGCTCGGCCACAGGTGCTGTCTCTGGGATGCTTTAGCTTCAAGTTCTCCTGTATAGCAGTTGAACCGGTGTGATCCTCCAGTGCTTCCAGAACACTGGCTCTAACGTAGTCTTACACTGTAGATGGTCATGGGTGAGTTTTTGGAGCTGCAGCTTTGACCATCTTTGCAAAATAATAGACAATGTATGTCTGACTTGCTGCAGCCCGAATGAAAAACTGTCTGTCTTGGATCTATGTACCAATATGTAGCAGTGATAGAATATTTGATAGTTTTGCTCAAATGCATCAGATGCAAACTGCCATGAAAGTACGAAAATTGAAATTTTGCTTCTATAAACAAGCTCCAAGAAGGCTCCCACCCTCGCTCATAAACAGTCCCTTCATGTTCCTTGATAACGGAGTCACTTTGCCCTTCATAGTATCAGAGGCAGGTCTCGTGAGGCGTTGTGAGACAGGCCTTGTACTCTTCATACACTCACCACCCTGTGTGCCTCCTCCACCTCCACTCCTGGCAGCTGAAACTGCTGACAGACTTGACGTTGGGCTGAACAGAGGCTGGTTAAGGGTCACCACCTGGTGATAACATCGCCCTGGTCGCCCTCTGGGTACTTCCAGGTTTTGCTTGCTTTCTTTATTTCATGCGTGTCAAGGGGAGATCCCTGTGGTGTTGTTTTTTTTTCTTAGTCATGCGTGTACATTTACTCATCTGCAGGTGTTTCTCATTCTAATATAACATTCAGATTGTTACCTGTGTGCCTTGATAACGAGGCTAGACCACATTAAACAAGTCTGTCTCTTGGTCTTTTTTTTAAAACAGAAAACGCATTAATAATATCAATAATTATGGAACTGAAATTGTTGACAAGCCTTAGTCTGTCATATTCTGTTTCTCGGGAACTGCTCATCCACACAGCTTCACACTAAACTTTCTCTGGTGTCCAGCAGTACAACCGACAAGTGTGAAGTACATCAGATGTCAAGAAACACAAGGGACAGACACACGCAACAGCGTTTTTAGACTTAAATTGTGGAGTATTACTACAGTCCTGATTGAAACAGACGTGCCTCTCTGACAGGGAGGTCTTGTTGCCCTTGTGCAGATTAGATCTCTGTAAGACAAGGAATAGGTGGAAAAGGAGGCTGTTGTCGCTTTATTGAGAAGTTAAAACATTTTGCTTGTAGCGTGATGGAACTTGCAGACATCCTGTGGTGAGAACAGCGATCAGTACACATGAGTCACTTCTGCTGTCAGATAACAAGGCAGAGGGATGGTTATGGTTGCGTGAGTGTGTGTGTGTGTGTGCGTGAGTGAGTGAATGTGTGTGTGTGTGATTCAGAGCTTTTGGCATCACATCCTGGTATTTTACCAACATGGCAGTGAACCAGTAGGGGCACTCCTGCCATCTGCCACACACACACAGAAGTCATGTGTAATTTAGTAGAGAGTTGCTGTTCAGATAAATCTCCCCTCGGGGTGTCATAACATGCCCCCGAAGAGCTCACACCCTGAAAGAAGCCCTCAGACACGGAGGCACGGATTGTAGGTCATTTTGCAAATGAAACCAAGCTTTCATTTAAAAGTAAAGGAGACGATTGTGAGAATTGTTGCAACATGAGGGTCCACAAGACATCAAATCGAGTGAAAACAGTTTGGTTCAGATGTCCTGAACAGTATCAGCTTGGCTCTGATGCTATTTTTCAGGAGTTTGACACAATATCCAGAGCAGGGTGTTATGTAATGCAAGTCAGATATGGAGTGTTGCACATTACTTAGACGATTTTTCGCCATTATCTATGTCTGGTAAAAGTATTGCACACTGTGTGTTTTATTCACATTGTGCAGATGAGTGAATAATCTTAGCAGCAGGTGTAGAAACTGTAGCAGGAGTTACATATGCTCTTTACATCCTGCAAAAGTGCAACAATCTGAATAAGTCCTATTTTGACTCAGTCTATTTTTTTGTTCATTTCAGTTATTTAGAGCAGGAATTTTTGATTGAAATCTGTTGTAAAATCAAATCAGATTGTCCGAAACCCTTTTGTGTATGAAGGGGAATTCTTTTTTTTCTTTTTTTTTCTGTGCTAAAGCCAGACTCGGCCCAGTTTTAGCTCCAACTAGCTCTAGGATCAGTGTGCATTTGTGCCAGATCGTTTTTCATTCACATTGCAGTTTGAGAGCAGTCGTGACACTTGATTAATCACCTGAATGATCGATTTTCCTGCTCTTTGATGATTGGATGGATGTTTGGCATGCCAGAAA